ACTATCCTGTATTTAAGGACTTTCTGTTTATTTTAATTCACTTTATATTTATGCTATATATACACTTATATATGTACTTATTTCTTTCTTTAGAATGTAAGCTTATTATTAAGTACAGATTGTTTCATTTTTTGGTAATTATATCCCCAATGCCTAGCACAATACCAGGCAGGTGTTTAATAAGGCTTTGTTGATTAACTTCATTAGTTAATCAACTAGTTACCTACTATAAGAGAAGATCAAATGCCCTATGAAACTGCAGAGGTTTGGGGTGCTGGGACCCCGAGAATGCCAAGGCAGAGTTATCTGGAATGGATTCACACACTCAAGGCTTCTCTTAGTCAAGTGGCAAAAAGTTTATTGTAATGCTTTAGCAAAAGCAGGAAAGTGTCCTTATATAACCTGAGAGAAAATTAGGATGGTGCTGGGGCTTATATGGAAAAGGGGCATAGGAAAGTAATGCTAGGGATACTAATTAGGTAATCTAGAGGTCCAGGTATCTTTGGGAGCCATGGATGAGAAAGCGTAGGGAGTACACCAGACATTGAGGGAGTTGTCAGAGGCATGCACCTTAGGGATCTGGTGCCAAGACAGTCCTTGGGCCAGGCACCCCTCTGTCTGTTCTGATAAGAGAATGCGTTCTGCAACAAGAGAAAATTTTCTTACAGGACAGGGGCCTACTGAGAAATTGGGAGGCTTCCAGAGACCTGATCTTGGGGCTAGGGCCTGAACACCTCATCAAAATGACATTTTTGTTGACTTTGGATATATGATGAAACCAATTCTGCCAATCCTTTATTTGTCTCTTCAAAGAACTATGAGCCAGACTGTCATTTGGCTGCAACTTCCTTCTGTCTTCTGGTTTCATTTATAACAAACTGTCTAGAAGGATATGATTCGGTTCCTCTAGTAGTGCGCCCACTTGCTGGACATTAGACAAGAATTTCATATTTAAAGTACCAAGAGTGGAGTTAATGCTTATTGACAGACTAAAAATACTGTGATTTTTGGCATATTTGGCTCCTTTTCTGCCACTTTCACCGCAGAAGCATAAATGGGCAGCCTAGGGCTAAAAGCCACTTTTTAATCATTGTCTCATGAGCTGACAAGGCAAAAGAATTTATCACGAAGTGGTCAACCTATTGGTGATAATGCTGACCATACAGAACTGGGCTGGTCCTGGAAAAGCTGAGCTAGTCCGTTGATAGGACAATAATCTCAAGCTTTTTAGGATGGTAGAACCTAAGAGAACTTGTATTTCACTTCAGCCTTTAAGGACAGAGGGTCCATTTCTAAAATATATAGAGAACTAAGATAAATGTATATGAATACAAGTCATTCCCCAACTGATAAATGGTCAAAGGATATGAACAGGTAGTTCTCAGATGAAGAAATGAATGCCATCTATAGTCATATGAAAAAATGCTGTAAATCACTATTGATTAGAGAAATGCAAATCAAAACGACTCTGAGGTACCACATCATACCTATCAGATTGGCCAACACGATAAAACAGGAAAATGATAAATGTTGGAGAAGATGTGGGAAAATTGGAACACTAATGCATTGCTGGTGGAGTTGTGAACTGATCCAATCATTTTGGAAAGCAATTTGGAACCATGCCTAAAGGACTCTAAAAATGTGCATACCCTTTGATCCAGCAATAGCACTTCTAGGGCTGTATCCCAAAGAGATCATACAAATGGGAAAAGGACCCACATGTACAAAAATATTTATAGCAACCCTTTTTGTGGTGGCAAAGAATTGGAAATTAAGAGGATGCCCATCAATTGGGGAATGGCTGGACAAATTGTGGTTTATGAATATAATGGAATACTATTGTGTTATAAGAAATGATGAGCAGGCAGACTTCAGAAAAACCTGGAAAGACTTGTATGGTCTGATGCTGAGTGAAGTGAGCAGAACCAGGAGAACTTTGTACACAGTAACAGTCATGTTGTGCTATGACTAACTTATAGACTTAGCCCTTCTCAGCAATGCAAGGATCTCAGACATTTCTAAAAGTCTCAAGAAGGAAAATGCTATCCACACCCAAAGAAAGAACTATGGAATTTGAATGCAGCTCAAAGAATACTATTTGCTCTTTTTTCCCTTCTGTTTTGTTTTGTTTCCTCTTTCTTGTGGTTCCTTCTATTGGTTCTAATTCTTCCTTACAACATGACTAATGTGAAAATATGTTTAATAGGAATGTATATGTATAGCCTATATCAGATTGTGTGCAGTCTTGGGGAGGGAGATGGGGACAGTGGGGGAGAAAAATTTAAAATTCAAAAGCTTATGGAAGTGATTGTTAATAAATAAATTAAAAAAAAAAAAGAACAGAGGGTCACCTCCAAGCCAAAGTGAGGTATAGAAGAGGTCTCTGTAGGGTTTTATTATCTGTGCCTTTAATTATAATGTCCCTTTGTTTTTCTCACTTAATGGTATCTATTATTTTGCCTTAGCCAAAATAGTAATTGCATGATCAACTATTATTCCAGATAACTGTTGACGAAGCATTATCCCCACCTCCAAAGAGGTGATGAACTCAAAGCACAGAATACATTTTGGGACATAGAAAATACGGGAATCTGTTTTGCTTGACTGTGCATATTTGTTATAAGATCTTGCTTATTTTTCCTTTTTCTCCCCTGCCAATTGAAGGAGGAGTTAGGAGGCAAAGGAAGCTCATGATGGGTTTCCTTAAAAAAAAAAAAAGAAAGAAAAGAGGGCCATTGAAGCTATTTTTTAAAAGCCCAGATGAGAACAGGAAGAAATAGGCAAAGCAGCTTTGAAAGTGACATGTTGAATTATATACTTAAAAGGAAAAGCAAACCACATATAACAGAGATTCAGTCTCATTTACAATCCTTTTTTTATGTTCTACTTTGTAATGGAATGGTAACTGTATTTGGTGGTTTGTTAGGATTCAGAATTTTTTTTTAAACCACCAAAGTCATGATTATAGCTCCTGCTTTTTTGGTTTCAGCTACGTGTTACATTTTATTCCAGCCCTTAACTTTGAATCTGTACAAATCCTTATATTTTGGACTTATTTCTTGCAAGCAGTGAAATGTTGGGTTTTGGTTCTAATTCATTCTGCAGTTTATTTCCTTTTAATAGAAAATTCAGTACACTAACATTCAAACTAATAATTGCTTAATTTGGTTTTCCCTCAATTCGATCTTATTATATTTTATACATAACATATTATTAAATTTATTAATATATATTATCATATATATATTTTTTCTTTTTGTATCAGCCCAAAGTACCATACTGTTTTAACAGCCCCAACTAACATATAACCACCCCAGCCCACATCCCAAAACCAGATAAAGCTCATTTTACTTTGTAATAAATCAACATTAAACAATTCCTTCCCTTTTCCCTCTCCCCACTCCCAAAGCCAGATTCTGAGGTTCTACTTTTATCAATAAACACACAGACACAGATACAGACACAGACAGATAGACAGACAGACACACAGACAAATTTTCTCTTCTCTCTCTCTCTCATGTGCTTAAGAAAACAAACAAACAAAACAAAAAAAGCTAAAATCAGATAACAAGCATACAGGATTAACACACAAACTTGATAACAACCCTTTAATAATGGAAAATTGCCTATACCTTTATTTTTATTTTAAAAATCTAGGTCCTTTAGGCTAGACATGCAGAGACCATGATGGCCCTGACAAGATCTTTGACCTGCTCCATTTTTGAACTGGTCTGGTCAGCCCTACCTCAGGCAACCCAGTGGCACCATACTGCCGCTGGGGCTCACCATACTGATATGCTGAACTTAGCATCATCAGATTGGTATAGCCACCTGCAACTCAGAACTCTAGGACTCACATCAGGTAGCCTCAGCTTCCCTAGTAGCTGAGATTACAGGCAGGTGCCACCATGCCTGGTCATATATCTTAAAAATATATATGTAGTTCTTTCTAAGGTCAAAATTGTGAATAAAAGCACAATCTTATTATTAAAAACTCTTAAGTGAAAACTGACTGTTTCTATGCTAGTTCAAAATAGGAGAATTCATTTTCCATTTTCTGGCTTCTTAAAGTTCAGGTTTTATTGGTTTACTTAAAAGAGATGTAACCATTACTGGCACATATCCCAAAGAGGTCAAAGACAGAGGAAAAATATCCATATGTACAAAAATAATTATAGAAGCACTCTGTTATATCAAAGAATTGAAAAAAAAAAAGAAAAGCAGGTGCCCATCCACTGGGCAACAGCTGAAAAATTATAATATATGAATCTAACAAAATACTATACCAAGAGAAATGAGGAATATGATGAAATCAGAGAAAACTAGGAAAATTTGCATGAATGATACAGAATGAAATGAGTAGAATCAGGAGAACAACTTACACAATGATCACAATAATCTATGGAAAAACAATTCTAAAAGACTACAGAACTCTATTCAATGCAGTGAGCTATGATGCCAAAGCATGGGACCTATTTACTGACAGAGAGGTGAAGGACCAGAAATGCAGAATAAGACACATAGACAAATTTGTATTACTACCTTAAAAAGCGTGTGTGTTAACAGAAGTTCATAGTTTTGGTTTTGCTCTTTGCATAGTAAAATGTTTTTATTTGTTGATGGCTGGTGATTAAGTTCATAATAAAACTTTTTTTAAAAAGGAAAGAAACTTATCTTTCAGCAAAGTCTTGTCAACTGAGATCATAAGAGACAGAAGAAACCTTAGAAATAACTTACTTCAACTGCCTCAATTTGCAAATAATGAAATTGAGGCCCAGAAAAACCAAATAATTTGTCCAAAGTCATACAGATGGTTAAAAAAAAATCAAAGCCTAGTTTTGAATCCTGGTATTCTAACTTCGAAATTGGAAGGGAAGGTTCCCAATAGACTAAACTTTAAAAAAATTTTTTTCAATGTCTACACTGGTACTACTAGGCAATCAAGTAGGACAAAATTTAAAGAAAGGTAAAAAAAGTATGTAAAAGAGATTTCAACTTACATTGGCTGGAAGGTTGCTCTGTCGGGGTTTCTGAATGAGAATGTGGACCTGCAGAAGTGTAAAGAACTCTCTTACTGTGATCCTACCATCATGGAGTTTCTGAGGATGAAAAGAAAACACTGTATTATCATTTGAAATATGTTGTTTTTGACTATTATCAACTCATATTTACTTAACAGTTTTCTTCCAAAGAGATGAAAGCACTTTATCCATGTTTATTAATATATACGATATATGTGAATTATCCAGAAAACATAATCACTCCTATTTTCCAGGGTATACAGTAAATAAGCATATATTATTCAAAGAATTTCAGAGCAGAAACACACCACCTTAGGGAAAAGGAAACTGAAGGTTAGTTAAGAGGGGTTACGTGATCTTCCGAAGGCCACATTATTTGTAAAATCAGGACTAGAATCCAGATCCTTTGACTCCTACTTTATTATTCCTTCTGCTATAATATGCTGCTACCCTCAGCAAAAAAGCTCATTTAGATTCTCCTTAACATTCCATAAAACAATTTTGGGATTACGATAAAAATGCGACTAAAACATATATACCCTTTGGCCCAAAGATCCAACTGATATTAAAAGGAAAACATGGAAAGTCATAGAATTAGCTATATGATTTTTAGTTTTTTTAAATGCTTTAACATACCTCTTTCAAGTTCTCTTCACAAATGTGGTCCATGAGAAATTGTGATTCCATCTGACTGCTCTGCTGCACTGAGAATAAAAGGAATTTAAGAGATAAATAAGTCAGAAAGAACTTCACTGGCAAATTCTTCTCTAGTTCTCATTCATGTTTGTGTAATTGAACCTGAAATCATCTAGAGAGACCTTTCTGCAAGGACCATATAGAGAGGTAGCTTATGTCCAGTTAAGGTTTAACTTCACTGGGTCAGGATGAGTCCATTTTTACTAACCCTTTGTCACTCATTTTATGTTTCTGTAGAGTTCCCAACTTAAAGTTTACTAAAATGACTTGGAGCTGAAATAAATAAACTTTAAATTCTATATTCATAAAACATTAATTTCAGAGCACTACATAAGGCCTAGACAATATTCACGTACTTGATACACTAAGAAATTCTATTATTTGTCAAACCAAGAGATAAATACTTTAAGTTAAATGCTACAGACAGATCTACAGTAAAGATGGCAGAATAAGGCAGGAAATTATCTGACTCTCCCAAATTCCCCTCCAAATAACTTAAAACAACATCTTAAGTAGAATTTGAGAGAGAGAAAGACAGAAAGAAATAGTAGAGGAAAATAGAATGGAGGGAAATACACAACTATTTATGATTATAACTTTAAATGTGAATGGAATGAACTCACCCATAAAACAGAAACGGATAGCAAATAGATTAAAAACCAGAACCTGACAATATGTTGTTCACAAAAAATTAGCAAGCATTATCTGTAAAGGGGAGAAGGTAGAAGTTTTCCCAGTAAGATCAGGGATGAAGCAAGGATGTCCATTATCACCACTATTATTCAATATTATATTAGAAATGCTAGCAATAATCTATTGTCATCTGAAAAAACTGCTCTATATCATCATTGATTAGAAACATGCAAATTAAATCAACTCTGAGGTACCACCTCACACTTAACAGAAAAAAAAAGAAACGAAAAAAAGAAAAGAAAAGAAAATGATGGATGTTGGAGGGGACATGGGAAAACTGGGACACTAATGCACTGTTGGTAGAGTTGTGAACTGATCCAACCACATGGAGAGCATTTTGGAACTATGCCTTAAAACTCTATACCACTGCTAAGTCTATATCCCAAAGACATCAAAAAAAAGGGGGAAAGGACCTATATGTACAAAAATATTTATAGTAGTTCTTTTTGTGGTAGCTAAGAACTGGAAATCGCAGGGATGCCCATCAATTGGGGAATGGCTAAACAAACTGTGGTATATGATTGTAATGGAATATTACTGTGCTGTAAGAAATGACAAGCAGGATGATTTCAGAAAAACCTGGAAAGATGTACATGAACTGATGCAAAATGAAGTGAACGGAACCAGGAGAACTTTATACACAGTAACAGCAATATTGTTTGATGAAGAACTGTGAATGACTTAGCTATTCTCAGCAATACAATGATTTAAGTCTTCTAAGACAATCCCAAAGGACTAATGATGAAGCATACTGTCTGACCCTGGAGAAAGAACTTGTATTGTTTGAATGCAGACTGAAGCATGCTATTTTTCACTTTCTTTTTTTTCATCCTTTTTCTTTTATTCAAGTCTTCTTATACAAAATGACTAACATGAAAATGTTTTACATGATTGCACATGTATAACCTATATCTGACTGCTTACCATCTCAGGAAGGGAGGGAATTTTAAAAAAATGTTAAAAAATCATTTTAACATATAATTAGGGGGAAAATAAAATATTAAAAAAAGAAATATGAATAGTAATAAGAGAAGAAAAAGAAATTGAAGGAATCAGAATAGACAACGAGGAAATAAAACTATCTCTTTTTGCAGATGACATGATGGTATAGTTAGAAAATCCTAGAGATCCAACTAAAAATTAGTTGAAACAATAATTTTAGCAAAGTAGCAGTACATAAATCATCTGCCTTTCTACATATTACCAATAAAGCCCTGCAAGAAAACATAGTAAGAGATATTTAACTTATATTAACTGTAGACCATAAAATACTTGGGAATATACCTATCAAGACAAACTCAGGAACTACATGAACATAATTATAAAACATTTTTTATACAAAAAAAGTCACATTTAAATAATTCGACACAGTAGTAAATGGTTATAGTAACTTTGCATTTCATAAATGCAAAGATCTGAGCTTTTAGGATAAGAACTCAATATGTGGTAAAAATTGCTGAGAAAACTGGAAAGCAACCTGGCAGAAACTAGGTATGGACTATTATCTTATACCATTTATCAAGATAAGGTCAAAAAGATATGTGACCAGACATAAAAGAAGGCATCATAAGTAAATTAGAGGAGCATGGAATATATTACCTAACAGATCTATGGATAAGAAAAGAATTCATGAATAAATAAGAGATAGAGACCATTGTGGAATGTAAAATGGATAGTTTTGATTACACTAATTTAAAAGGTTTTGTACAAATAAAACCATTGTAGCCAAGATTAGAAGGAAAGCAGAAAATTGGGGAGGAAATTTTAAAGCCAGTTTCTTGGATAAAGACCTCATATCTCAAATATATAGAGAACTAAGTCAAATTTGTAAGAATATGAGTCATTCTCCAATTGACAAATGGTCAAAGGATATGAACAAGCAGCTTTTGGAAGATGAAATCAAAGCTATATATAGTCATATAAAATACTCTAAATCATTGTTGATTAGAAAAATATAAATTAAAATAACTGTGAGGTACCATTCATACCTATCAAATTGGCTAAAATGATAGTAGGGGAAAATGACACGTGTTGGAGGGGTTGTAGAAAAGTTGGGACACTAATTCACTGTTGTTCAGTCATTTTGCAGTTTTCATGGTAAAGATACTACAGTGGTTTATCATTTCCTTCTTTAGCTCGTTTTACAGATGAGGAAACTGAGGCAAACAGGGTTAAGTGACTTGCCCAGGGCTACACAGCTAATAAGTATCTGAGGCAGAATTTGAACTCAGGTCTTCCACACTCTAGGCCCAGTGCTCTGTCCACTGGGCAACTTACCTACTGGAAAAGAGTGGAGGACAACTACAAGTAGCTTGAGAACTAATGAAGCAACTGGGCCAAAGTCTATTAACAAGTTCAGTCGGGGCCCAAACAACGACCAAGTGGGGGTTGGCTTGGGATCTATTCTTGACCAACCAGTGAGAGCCAGAGTGATTTGGGTTTAAGGCATGGTCCTTAAGAAAGAAATGTAGCCTGTAAACCCCAAGATACCTTGCAATGTTTCAAAAGAGAGGGAGGGGGGGAGAGAAGGAAGGAAAGAAAGATGGAAAAGAAAAAAGCTGTATTGCCCAACTGGCCAGTTCCAGCTGGGTCCCCAGTGGGACAGCTTTTACTACTCACAGGGTTGTTGTTTGTTATTTGTTCTCAAAGAAGACTAAGTCATCATGGAGGTGATGCCATGACATGCAAGTGAATTGGATTTAAGTGAGGGAGAGCTGTGCAAAGTCACCAGCCTCACTTTGTCCACTGGAGCCACCTGCATCCAGTGGCCAGATACACATCAAGATGACTGGAGATGGCCCCCACCATTCTGATGGCAGAAAGCGAAGAACTAAGAAATCTCTGGATGACAGTGAAAGAGGAGAGTGTGAAAGCTAGCTTTGAAGCTCAATATATAAAAAAAAACAACAAACTAAGATTATGGCAACTAGTCCTATCACTTCTTGGCAAATAGAGGGAGAAGAAATGGAAGCAATATCAGATTTTATATAATTGGCCTCAAACATTAGTGCAGACAGCGACTGCAGCCTTGAAATTAAAAGATGCTTGCTCCTTAGAAGGAAAGCTATGGAAAATCAGGACAGCAGACTAAAAAGCAGAGACATCATCTTACCGACAAAGGTCTGTATAGTCAAAGCTATGTTTTTTCCAATAGCAAAGTATGGCTGTGAGAGCTGGCCTATAAAGAAAGTTGAGCAGCACAACTGATGTTTTCAAACTGTGATGCTGGAGAAGAATTTTGAGAGTCCCGTGGAGAGCAAGGGGATCAAATCAGTCAATACTTACAGAAATTAATTCAGACTATTCAATGGAAGGTCAAATACTGAAGCTGAAGCTTAAATACACTGCCACATAATGAGAAGATAGGACTCATTTGAAAAGACCTTGATGTTTGGAAAGACTGAAAAGGAGAAGGGGATGCAGAGGATCAGATGGACAGATAGTGTCATGGAAGCAATGAACATGAGTTTTGCAGACAGTGGAGGACAGAAGGACCTGGTGTACTATGGTCCATGGGGTCACAAAGAGCCAGACACAAATGAATGACAAACAGCAACAACAAATCCCACAGCTGGTGGAACTGTGAACTGATCTAACCATTTTGGAAAGCAATTTGGAATTGTGCCCAAAGAGCTATAAAACTGTGTATACCCTTTGACCTAACAATTAAGTCTGTTTCCCAAGGTGATTAGGGAAAAAGGAAAAGAATCTATGTGTTCTAAAATATTTATAGCAGCTTTCTTTGTGGTGGCAAAGAACTAGAAATCGAAGGGATGCCCATCATTCAGGGAATGGCTGAATATGTTGTGGTGTATGATTATGATGGAATACCACTATGTTGTAAGAAATGATGAGCAGGATATTTTAGAGAAACATGGAGAGACTTGCATGAAATAATGCAGTGTAAATGTGCAGAACCAAAAGAATGCTGTATACAGTAACAGCAACATTGTTTGAAGAGGAACTGTGAATGACTAAGCTATTCTGAGTAATATGATCATTCAAATCAACTATGAAGGACTTATGAAGGAAAGTGCTATCCCCCTCCAGAGAAAGAACTAATATATGGAAGCATGTATTGTATGGCTCCACATATACATATCTATATCAAATGTTGGCCTTCTCTAATGAGCAGTTGTGAAGGAGAAAGGGAAACAATTGGAACTCAAAATGTAACAAAAAAAAAATAGAGGTCTTACTGCTGTAATTCATAGACGTCCCATCAGCCTTGATGGAATCCGATGAGCTGGAACAACTAGATGGGGTCCTGTTGAGACTTTTCATCAATGAACTAGAAGGATTTCTATCCACATACTCTTCTGTATGGTGATCCAATGCCTGAAATCATTAATTAAGAAAAAACTATCAGGAAGCAAGTATAAGGTATACTTTCTTTCATAAAACACATTTTTTTTATCTTTTGTTTTACATTGCCCAGATTTTCCCCATATTCTTCTCCTTCCCCTTCTCCCAGAGAGTCATCCTATAAGATGTACTTTTGATCAAGATGTGTTTGCTGGGTACAAGAAGCATTATCACTTGCTATAAACTCATTTACTGTTTCTGGGATACCCTAATAAGAAATTAGAAATCATGTCATTAACTTGGGTCTTTAATTTGAATTTAAAAATAATTTTACTAAGGCCCATAGAAAAACTTCATGATTACATTCCATATATATATAAACTCTCTACTTAATAGTTATTTTTACACTAGTCCAGGTCCAATTTACTACCTAACATTAATCTGGGCCATCTGTTTAGTCTTTCACCAGAGTTAATAGAAAGGGCTTATTTCCAAGCTTAGCCAACATCATAAATAGCTAAAGTGCTTCTGACTAGAGGGCAAACAAATCAGAAGATCCCAAAGTCACTATTTGTGATTTTGTGATTTTTGACTTCTCCACAAGTACACATTTTAGGGAAGGATTCCTTATCGGTTTTTAAATTAATTTAATTCAACATTTATGAAGCACCTGCTGTGTTCAAAGAACTAGGTCAGGTGCTGAGGGAAGATACCAAAGTTGTAGAAGACATAGACTGCCCTCATGGATCTTTTGCTCTGAATGCAGAAGTGGGTGGGGGTGGGGGGGAGGGTATTGGTGGTAATGACACATACACAAATAACTACAATACAAAATAGCACCTAAATGAACAAAAGCTGCAAAGTGCTACATGATATCTAGTTACAAATGTTTAGCATTAGAGGTCACCTCAGTGATCATATAGCAACATTCAACTATTTCATCTTATAGGTAGGAAACTTGAGGCACAGGAATGTTAAGACATTTGCTTAAAAGCACACATCTAGATGGTGGCCATGTGTGACTACTTCTTAAAGGTCACATGGCCTTAACAGAAACTTCAACTGACCTAATCCTTTTTTACAACCCCATCTTTCTTGTGAAGTCATAACTTTTAGCTTTTTTTTTTTCCTGTCCATTCTTGTGTTTCATTGCTACATAACTCCCACTAATGAAAATCTTCTTTCTCATGCAGGTTAGAGTTAACTTGGGGTATTGAGAAATTAAGTGACTTTCCCAGGGTCACATAGATAGTATGAATCAGAGGTCTAACTTGAACCTAGGCCTTTCTGACTTTCAGGCTAGCTCTCTATAAACTATGCTACGTTACCTCTGGTAACTTATGACTTACTTTTTTTTATTAACATACCTCAAAATTGTTATAAAAACACCTATAATCTTTTATGAACTTCTGAAGCTTTCTGCTCTCTACCTAAAAAACTGTAGTTTGGTGGGAATTGTATTCTGATTAAGTTATTTAAAACTAACTTAAAATTTAGAATGCAACAATTTCTTGCAGTTTATTTTTAAGCCATTACTCATTTCTTTCTTCTGCACCCATTTGTTATCATAGAATTATCTTCTTTGACCTGTTCAGCTGGGGCACTTTTGACGCAGAAGTATTTCTCCAGCACTGTTAATTGGAATAGAGCAAAAAGATCAATTCCCTTTCATCAAAGATTAAAATGCAAGTTGAGCATACTTTTTAGTTACTACAAAGAAGTCAACTCACCTGGAGAGCCTGGGCTGAATTACTAAGACTGGTCTCATCCTTTCGGACTTTCTTCTCACTGGGAACACTGTCATCTTCTCCTTGTACTAGGAGTCTTTTCTGACTATTAAAGATTTCCTTCACTGCACTTTCAGGAGGTTGGATCTCTTGTTGGCAAGTCTCAGTCAAAGCCTTTCCCTTGGTTTCAATGCTGATGGATTCAGAAGAATTACTCTCTTCGGGATCTAGAGGAAGGTGCTCCTCATTTATATACTGAGAGGGGCTCAGATGTGGCTCTGTTAAAGCAGACATCAAATTTGAACTTTTCTTAGTGACTGGCTGAGTTTCTAAACTGTTTAAGTCAGTTAAATCTACTGAGTTATGCTCCAAGGCATCCATGCCAGTGACACTGCAATTTCTTTTGTTTGGCAGTTTAGGTAAAAAGATTCCCAAAGAGTACCTTCTTGTCTTAATTTTATCCTTTACAAGAGCCTTTAAGGGTACAGAATAAGATGCATCTCCACTACAAGAGTATGGTTTTCCCTCATCTTCGATGTTCTCTGCATTATTGGTTCCTATTTTTGTGTTTTGTGTTTCAGTGGTTTGAGATTTATCCACACTGTCTTCTACTTGTTTTCCCAATTTGGGTAACTGTTCTGTAAGGTTAGCTACATGACTAGTCTGATATTGTGAAAAAATTTCAGATCTCTTGACTGTATTCAGATTTGGTTCAATATTAGCAGTACTAATAGCTTTAGATGAAATCATAGGATCTGACAGCATGGAATGAGCGGCATGGAGCTGATGTACTTCTGTAGCTGAGCCTGAGTTAACATGGACTTCCACAGTTGCTTCCCATTCAGATATTTGTACATTTTGCTTTGGTTCTTTTTCTGAGGCTGTAGTAAGCTCTCTATCATTGTGCAACATTTTGGACTCGTTTTCATAATTAAGTATACAAATGTTTCCTGTAGCAACTTCCAAATTTCCATTTTCTGCCTCAGGTTGCATTAGTTTATCTTCATTTACAATATATTGTTCCTTTTCTGGTAAGGGAATTGAATGGGTTAGTAACTGAGGTTGAGAGTCAACAAGTACAGCATCTCTGAAGAGCTCACTTCTTTGTCTTTGTTCTCTATCATCATTGAAAGCTTTCACCTGACGTTTTGGAAACTTAAATGGAATTGTTTTAGATTTAGATTTAGTTTTTCCCAATAAAATTGTACTATCAAAAGCACATACTTCTTTTTTGACTGTTTCTAATACATGATCCTGATCAACAACTTTCTCCAAAGTTTTTTTGTTAATAACAGTGCTTTGAGACTCGTCCATTTCCATTACATCCTGATCACCTGTAAACATAATAGTTTTATCTGCAGGGAAGGAAGGTAATGCAGACCGCTGCTGTTCATCCTGAAGAAAACTTCTGTTTTCTATTGCATCTGTTTGTTTTTTAGTGACTTTTCTATCATTAACGTCTCCACTTGAAAAGAAAATAGTCTCATTATTAGGAACAAATGTTACCTGTGCTCCAACTAAGCTATTCCTTTTAAAGCTATCAAGTTTTACCTTACTTGGAAACATGTTCTGTGTGTTCTCCATAATTTGGTAATCAATGACAACAGTATGGGCCTTGGTAATTTCTAGCTCATTCTGATTATCTGCAAACACCATTGTTGTATCCATTTTCCTATTGGTTCCTACAGCCTCACAGTCCATTGCAAAAATGTGGCTTTTAGTGATGTCAGTGATCTCCATGTCATCCTGTTCACCTCTATACAAAACAGTTTTGGAAGCTGTAGCTAAAGGTACCAAACAACTGTCCCGTTTACCTTCTAGAACATCTTTGTGGCCTATTTCCTTTGTAAAAGCATTGGAAATTTCCATGTTATTCTCATCACCTGCTGGAAATACAATAGTTTTGTTACTGTAGAATTCATTCATGCTTTTACTTCCTCCAGGTTTGTCTAACAGCTGTGCACTCTCCAATTTGGGTCTCTCTACAGCTTTATCAATCATACAAGGGATTGGCTTAGTTAATTCCATGTCATTATTGGATATAAACATTATAGTCTTATCCACAGGAATACTCCTGTGGCTATCTCCTTGTGGTACTATCTGGCTGTTTATTACTGTTGTGTGGCTTTTAGTGAGATCCAAATCATTCCCACCTTCCTCTGAAAAGAAAACAGTTTGATCATTAGGAGCAAACATCATCTTTGGTCGACCTAGGCTTTTCCTTCTAGAGTCCTTAAGATGAGACCCACCTTGCATTTTTTCCATAGTTTGGTAATCAATGACAACAGTGTGGGACTTAGTAATTTCTAGCCATCTTGATTATCTGCAAACACCACTGTTTTATCCATTATCTTACTGGTACCTATATCTTCTAAATCAGCTTCACATTCCATTGCAAAAAAGTGGCTTTTAGTGATGTTAGTGAGCTCCGTGCTATCTTGCTTGCCTCTATACAAAACAGTTTTGGAAGCTGTAGCTAAAGGTACCAAACAACTATCCTGTTGACCTTCCTGGTTTATTTCCATTGCACAAATATTGGTAATTTCCATCCCATTCTCATCAGTCGCTGAAAATACAATAGTTTTGTCACTGTTGAGGTTATTTATACTTTTCTTCCCCTTAGGTTTTTCTAACTGCTGTATAGGATCCAACCCTGGATCCTCTATAGTTTTGTCAGTAATACAAGTGGTCAATTTAGTCAATTCCATGTCATTTTTGGATGTAAACATTATAGTCTTATCCACAGGAATATTCCCGTGGCCATCTCCTTGTGGCACTATCTGGCTGTTTATTACTGTTGTGTGGCTCTTAGTGAGGTCCAAATCATTCCCATCTTCCTCTGAAAAGAAAACAGTTTGATCATTAGAAGCAAATGTCATCTTTGGTCCACCTAAACTTTTCCTTCCAGAGCTCTTAAGATTAGACCTATCCTTTGTCTTCTTCATAGTTTGGTAATCAATGACAACAGTGTGGGACTTGGTAATTTCTAGCTCATTCTGATTATCTGCAAACACCACTGTTTTATCCATTTTCTTAGTGGTTCCTACATCTTGTAAATCAGCTTCACAGTCCATTGCAAAAATGTGGCTTTTAGTGATGTCAGTGATCTCCATGTCATCCTGTTCACCTCTATACAAAACAGTTTTGGAAGCTGTAGCTAAAGGTACCAAACAACTGTCCCGTTTACCTTCTAGAACATCTTTGTGGTCTATTTCCTTTGTAAAAGCATTGGAAATTTCCATGTTATTCTCATCACCTGCTGGAAATACAATAGTTTTGTTACTGTAGAATTCATTCATGCTTTTACTTCCTCCAGGTTTGTCTAACAGCTGTGCACTCCCCAATTTGGGTCTCTCTACAGCTTTATCAATCATACAAGGGATTGGCTTAGTTAATTCCATGTCATTATTGGATATAAACATTATAGTCTTATCCACAGGAATACTCCTGTGGTTATCTCCTTGTGGTACTATCTGACTGTTTATTACTGTTGTGTGGCTTTTAGTGAGATCCAAATCATTCCCACCTTCCTCTGAAAAGAAAACAGTTTGATCATTAGGAGCAAATATTATCTTTGGCTGACCTAGGCTTTTCCTTCTAGAGTCCTTAGGATAAGGCCCATCTTGCATCTTTTTCATAGTTTGGTAATCAATGACAACAGTGTGGGACTTAGTAATCTCTAGCTCATCCTGACTATCTGGAAACACCACTGTTTCATCTGTGGCCCTGCTTGTTTCTTCTTCTAAATCTGCTTTGTCTCCTCCAATTCTATGGATTTTATTGATCTCCAAACTATCCCCCACAATTTCAGTCATCCTTTTCTTATTCAAACATGAGAGAGTTAAGCATGGTGATTTCCCATATCTCACAGAAGCCTCACTGTATTTCTGTTTCTGCTGTTCATCTGCAGGTATCTTTGAGTTGCCAGTTTGAATAATTACTTCATGGTTTTCAGTCAAGTCCATATTATCTTGCTCAGGGGCAAAAATAACAGTCTTTTCTGAAGGATAAGGCAAGAGTGAATTGGTCGAAACTAATTTCATGGCTAGCAGTGATTGATGAGCATACTGTGGGCTTACATCTGTATTAGCCACTGTGAGATTCTCAGGTTGGGATAATGAATTCTGGCAGTTACCAAATGGTTTTTCAGAGTGGAGATCACCTTTGTCTTGCAAGAAGGAATTAAATGCCTCTTTCAGTGGAATCTGTTGAAGAACAATTTGAGAAGTAGGTTTACTGTTGGGAGAGAGGGGTTTTTTGGTTTTTACAGGGGCCAGCATATTAGCTGAGGTCAGAGGTAACTGAGTTCCTAAGTCACTGCTATCAATCTTGACTGTACAACATTTGGTCAAATCCATGTCTTCACCTGAGAAGACAACAGACTTGTTACCAGACAATGAAACACCTAAAGGATTTGCCAGCTCCTGCTGCAATCTTCCTGTAGTCACATAAGAAACTGAACTGCAGCTTTTGTTCTGCTTTACATCCTCTGAAACAGCCTCCTGATCCTGAAATAATTGCTCATTTTCAAGATTTGGTAGAGAAGGGACCTGTACAATAATTGGGCATAATTCAATAATCTGATCATGTATGGCAACTGTATTACTCTTAGTAATGTCCATATCAACCTCTTCTGAATAAACAGTTTTATCCATGAGACTAGACATGGCCTTCCCTGGATTTGGACACATTTGGGTTAAATTACTGACACATGCATTCTTATCATCTCTTCTGGGTGTAGGACTTTTGGTCATTTCCATGGCATCATCATTACTAGAGAAGAAAACTGTTTTATCACCTTGAAATACTAGGCCAGGACATGTAGATTCTCGGGGTAAGGCCAATGTCACAGAGCCTTGGTTGGAAGCCTGTGATGCTGCAGGGTGAGTATCTGTCTTCCCAGTGTGGCTTCTGGTAATATCTATTTCATCCTCAAGGTTTCCTGAAGGGTCCTGACATGGAACATTCTGTTGGTTTCTACAAATTCTCTTTGTCCCTGGATTTTTAGTAGTATAATCACCTTTTGTGATATCTACTGTGACACTCTGAATATGATTCTCTATCCTAGATATATTATTTGTAGGAAGGAAATTTTGTGCAGTATGGTTAACCGTCAAGTCCATAAAGTCATTGCCATACACTGTAAAATCACATCCTTCAGCTGACCTCAAGGGAGTCTCTCTGGTTATAGGGTCCATGGATTGAATATTATCTGTATGGCACTGGGTGACATCCTTTTCATCATCTTGTTCTCTGAAGAGTCCAGTGACACCATGGCTGTTCTCTTTTGCTGTAGAAAATACGTATTTTTTTGGCACAGAAAAGGCATCATTGTTTGGTTCTTGGGAAGGGACATGGCCTATAAACATATTTTCCTTATCAGGTCCTTCAGCACAAGAACTAATAGATTTTTCTAACTTCAATCTTTTTATGAAGTCATTGAAATTTACTTTATTTTCTGAAGAGTTGCTTGTCTTGGACTGGAAAGAACATTTGTCAGCTATCCTTTCAGGATTGGTAGACAAATTAAATTCTTTGTTCATGGTTAGATCTTCAGTGTGGGACTTTAAGTTGGCTAGAAAGGATTTGGTGTCTATTTTGGAGGGCTCTTCCATTTGTAGGACCACAGCATTATTTCTAACAAAATTCCTAACTGATAAATTAGAAAGTAAATTGGTATTATTTTGCGACTCAGACTGTGGTTTAAAGATGATGTTCTGTGGAACCATGTCTTCAGACTCCTGTATTGAAGGAGAGGACATACATCCAATAACGCCAGTGTGACTTGTGGTTAAGTCCATATTTTGTTGTTGTTCCATAAACACAACAGTCTTGTCATGACAAAAGGCAAGTGAAGTATTGGCTATATTTTTTTTCAGTGGTTCAGAGCGTCTAGAATTCTGTCCAAGTGTAGATTTCAGTGTACAGGTGTTAATGTCTATAGTATGCCTTTCCATGTCCTCTTCTGATGAAAAAGTTATTGGTTTTACCTTGGATAACCAAGACTGCTTGTGAAAACGTGCATTTCCAGTATTTCCCAATGCTACTTTTCGATCAAGATTCTCACCACAGACGTCTATGGTATGACTTTCTGTCATATCTATTTTATAAACACTTGAATGAAGAATATCTTTATCAGGATAGGATGAAAGTTCCAAGATTTTTTCATCTTTGATACAGGTCTCTGTTTGGGTATTTTCAGGTCCTAGTTTTTGTTGTGTGACTACTGCACTGTTGTCAAGATTAATAGGAACAGTATGACTTTGAGTTATTTCCATTTCTTCCCATGCCTCTAAACCAGATGAATGTCTACTGCGGGAAGAAAGGGGTTTTTTGGTTTTTACAGGGGCCAGCATATTAGCTGAGGTCAGAGGTAACTGAGTTCCTAAGTCACTGCTATCAATCTTGACTGTACAACATTTGGTCAAATCCATGTCTTCACCTGAGAAGACAACAGACTTGTTACCAGACAATGAAACACCTAAAGGATTTGCCAGCTCCTGCTGCAATCTTCCTGTAGTTACATAAGAAACTGAACTGCAGCTTTTGTTCTGCTTTACATCCTCTGAAACAGCCTCCTGATCCTGAAATAATTGCTCATTTTCAAGATTTGGTAGAGAAGGGACCTGTACAATAATTGGGCATAATTCAATAATCTGATCATGTATGGCAACTGTATTACTCTTAGTAATGTCCATATCAACCTCTTCTGAATAAACAGTTTTATCCATGAGACTAGACATGGCCTTCCCTGGATTTGGACACATTTGGGTTAAATTACTGACACATGCATTCTTATCATCTCTTCTGGGTGTAGGACTTTTGGTCATTTCCATGGCATCATCATTACTAGAGAAGAAAACTGTTTTATCACCTTGAAATACTAGGCCAGGACATGTAGATTCTCGGGGTAAGGCCAATGTCACAGAGCCTTGGTTGGAAGCCTGTGATGCTGCAGGGTGAGTATCTGTCTTCCCAGTGTGGCTTCTGGTAATATCTATTTCATCCTCAAGGTTTCCTGAAGGGTCCTGACATGGAACATTCTGTTGGTTTCTACAAATTCTCTTTGTCCCTGGATTTTTAGTAGTATAATCACCTTTTGTGATATCTACTGTGACACTCTGAATATGATTCTCTATCCTAGATATATTATTTGTAGGAAGGAAATTTTGTGCAGTATGGTTAACCGTCAAGTCCATAAAGTCATTGCCATACACTGTAAAATCACATCCTTCAGCTGACCTCAAGGGAGTCTCTCTGGTTATAGGGTCCATGGATTGAATATTATCTGTATGGCACTGGGTGACATCCTTTTCATCATCTTGTTCTCTGAAGAGTCCAGTGACACCATGGCTGTTCTCTTTTGCTGTAGAAAATACGTATTTTTTTGGCACAGAAAAGGCATCATTGTTTGGTTCTTGGGAAGAGACATGGCCTATAAAGACATTTTCCTTATCAGGTCCTTCAGCATAAGAACTAATAGATTTTTCTAACTTCAATCTTTTTATGAAGTCATTGAAATTTACTTTATTTTCTGAAGAGTTGCTTGTCTTGGACTGGAAAGAACATTTGTCAGCTATCCTTTCGGGATTGGTAGACAAATTAAATTCTTTGTTCATGGTTAGATCTTCAGTGTGGGACTTTAAGTTGGCTAGAAAGGATTTGGTATCTATTTTGGTGGACTTTCCCATTTCAGGGCAACTTAAGAGGCCTTTTGTAATCATCACAGTGTGACTAGATGTCAAGTCCATTTGATTTTCATCTGAGAAGATGACTGTTTGATCATTTCCATACTTTTTTTCATGAATAGGCTCCATATCTGAGCCCTGTAATAAAAGCAAAAAACACCAAATTAGTGTTTGGTAGTACATACCCAAGGATTTACATATTTCATACCTATAATACCAAGGTGATGTTTTAATGTACGAGCCTCAAAGAACAGAGCAAGGGGAAAAAAACATTTATTACGTGCTTTCTATGTGCCAGGTACTATGCTAAGTGCTAGTAAAGTCCCTGCTCTTAAGGAACTTACAGTCTAATGAAATTGTGAAGTGAATTGTTACAAATAAAATGATGATTCATAACATGTGGCATGTACTATAAACAAATTGCATCTTCAATAATGATTAGAATTAGATTGGCAATTGTTAGTCACATGGCATCTCATTTTACTAAAGGATTTTCTCTATGAAATTCAAATTGTTATATTGTCAGTAATGTTTATCCCATTTATTAACAATAATGTCAAAATGTTTTCAAGTGTCATTTGGAATAAGTAATCTGATATGATATTGAACACAGTGAAGTGAATATCATTTGACATTGAACCCCATCTATATACCCACAGAAACCTTGGGGAGAAGTCCAGGCAGACCAATCTTCATTGTCCTCTGAAGTATGCTTCTGACTTTCTGGACCTGAACATTATGCTTCACCAGTAGCCTCACCTTATAACCTCACTCTGTACCTGGGGCCTACTCACCTTGGAACATCCATCCACCATGTTGGCTTCTTCCTCTGTTTTCTCAAATGATTTATTTGTACAGTGCTTAATTAGCATAGTGCTTGCAAAAAAGGCACTTAATACATGCTTGTTTCTTTGCTCCCTCCCCTCCCTTCCATTGATGAGTTCCCCTCAACGCTTCCATTTGGGGAGGGGCCCAGGCTGGCCAAACTTTATTTCTCTTCTGGTTCTATTTCTGACCTTTGATACCATGCATACCTCTTCCTTCTCACCTTCTTCCCTTCCCTTCACCTTCCTTTTGTATGTTGTCTTCAACCCACTGGACTGTCCTTTTTTTTTTTTTGGCTTTTGCTTGTATTTGTATCTCTAGCACTTAGTTCAGAGTTTGGCACATAGTAAGTGCTTAATAAATGCTTTTTGCCTTGCTGAGCTCTACAGTTGTAAGTGCAGGAAAAGGATCCAATCTGAGTAGTATTATTCTATCCCTCATTTAGACATACATTCCTAGGACTGGAGCCAAAGCAAAGTAGATTATGGGGTTGCAAGAGAATACAAACAATTGTTTACTTCACTTATTCCATTTCATATTATCTATAGCTAAATAGTCAATGAAAAACACAAAACCTTCAGAGAAAATCATAAGTACAAACCATCTACTTAGTTTTGTAAAATTATTTTCAAAAGAAAGGTGAAAAATGTAGGACCATTACTGCTTCAAAATTATATGAAGCATAAAAATTACTAATACATAACATATAAAGTACTCTATTATTCAAGTCATGAGACATAGTATTTTTATACATACCTGGAGAAAAGACAGACAGAAGTGGGACAAGATAAAAGAAAAAGCAACATATAAACATGTTATCATGAATTATAGCCATTTTGCCATAGAACCAAATTCACATATATAGCATAGAGAGTTCCTACTTTCTAGAGCAGAGGTGTCAAACTGCCAGTTAGGCTAGAAGCAGATTAAAATGTATTGTAAAAGGTTTAACAAAATAAATAAAAAGACAATATAACCTAGATAATGCTAATTTGTGGTTTTCTAGTTCAATATGTAGTCTGCAGGCATCTGTTTCTATTAGAACTGAACACCATTGCTGTAGAGGGTAGGAAAAATTTTTGCTTAACTTTCTTTATTCAACATAAAATAATGCTCCAAGCCTGCTAAGAACATAATAAATCCTATGTGAATGCAGATTATACCAAAGCAATTTGTCAATGTGGTTTTCTGCTTTTTGAGCCTTTGGAAATAACTTCCAAAATGCTCTTCCAAAACAATTTAAAATCAAATTTCTGCACAGAAGGCTCCAAAAGGTGACATGATCTGGAGGAAGAAAAACTGGGAAAATGAGAAGAACTCATCCTGTCTATAATACTAAATCTCACAACTCCTATATGTTATATAAATTTCAGATTTACATTTTCACAGGAGTTAAAGAATCTTGGTGCTGGAAGGACCTTAGAAATCAACTAGGCCAACTCTCTTATTCTGCAGTTGAGGATACTGAGGCTCAGAGAGGTTATCTGCCCAAGTTCATACAACTAGTTAATGGCAGAACTAGGACACAGGCTGATAGTCTTTTAATTATATCATACTTCCTCACTTGCCTCTAGAGGCTAGGAACAATTTTTGCTTAACATTTTTGTTTTTTCTTTCTTTTTTTTTGCCCCGCTGAGGCAATAGGGGTTAAGTGACTTGCCCAGGGTCACATAGCTAGTGAGTATCAAGTGTCTGAGGCAGAATTTGAACTCAGATCCTCCTGACTCCAAGCCTGGACCTCTATTCACTGTGCCACCTAGCTGCCTCTTGCTTAACTTCACTCAATGTAAAACAGTTTTCTAGGACTGTAATGACCTTAATAAATTCCGTGTGATATCCTACTAATTCACCTTAAGAAATTTAAAAAGAAATACAAATTAATTTCAGTTAACAGAAATGAATGTAAGAATTTTTGCAAAATGCAAAAGACATCGTGTTAGTGAAGAACTAGATCTCACATCAGAATAGTCATCAATGTAGGCAACGTGTTTTTATTATTTCCCCCCCCAAGGACTTGGCACTGATATAGGCACTATAAAAAACAAGTATGTCTATGTGGAGAAGACTATTTAAGAAAGACCCTCTCAGTAAAATGTATATAATTGGAAAGGATACGGTATAAATTAACTCTCAGCAAAAACAATAGCAATCACTCAAAAACATGAGTCTATAATTCAGTGCAATCTAACTTTGTAGAAGTATATTTGGTAAGAATTAAAATGTTCTTACTCAAAAGTTGTGTGAAGGGTTCATTCTTTTTTTAAGCAATTGACAGGCTATGTTGTAAGCACTAACTGGGCCTGTGTATCTTAATAATCTGCTCAGAAGAAAAACTGCTATTGTATTTTCCTAAGAAGAGACTAAAATATAGACCAATGATTTACCACAACATAACACACTGTATTGTTATGGATCAATGGCACTATTATTTTGTGAGGCTTCTTTTTCAAATCTAGAATTCTTAGCAATGGTTTTATTCTTGAGGGAAAGGCTTCAATATATTCACCCTCCTGCCACCTAAAGTTCTAAAAGTAATGGAGTTAACAGTTAAAAGTTTCCTATTTGAGCAAATCTCAAATATGAAAATATCTTCACACATTTATACCTCTTGCTGCTGCAACTGGACCTGAATAGGAGCACGAAGAAGTGTTTCCATTCCTACAGAGAAGAATAAAAAGGAATGCTAGTCAATGGCTCCATGTTCTAAGAATTCAATTTAACAAATGCGCTATGCTACAGATACAATGACAGTTCACGCTTTTAAAGTGTTTACATATTACTAAGGCAGATAAAATATGTACACAAATAAATAAAGTACAAGGTGAGGAAGGAGAAAGCATTAACAAATGGGGATTCAGAGAAAGCTTCACATAGGAGGGGGCACATCTCCTATGCCTCATTTTACAGATGAAAAAAAATGAGGTTCAGGGATAAGAAACTATTTGCCCACAATCAAAAAGCTAATAAATGTCCAGGATGGAACTCAACCAGGTCCTGTGACACCAAATCCAGGCTCTTTCCCCTTACCATTCTGCCTCTTTCTTTCTCCTATTTTCTATTATGGTAGGGTAGAAAGGAGTTAGGGGGTAGGGTCAGGGAGCAGAGTGGAGGAAGGCCCAAACAGGACTTTAAGCCTAAAATCTTATTCCTATTGTCTGTGATTGTCCTTCCCTCTAATCTCTCTTGCCTCCCACAACTGTGCCATCTCCATTATCTTGTAGTTTGAAATTTCCCTCCTTTATAATTTCCTGTCTTAACTTCTCCCTTACTACTCGAAAATCTATACTTCATATTTACCATAACCTCCAGGCTCTCTTCTTCCAGACTATTACCCGTTTTGGCCTACTTTCCTTTCTTTACAATCTAGACTCTTCAACTGACCAATTCAAAGAAACATTGTCCTCAACCCTGGACTTGCTTGGCCACATTGCCTATCACTGTCATTCACTTTCTGCCAATACTCAACCCTGGATCACCCCTATTATCTGCCTTCTCTACTCGTACTCCTGCTGAATTCCAATGGAGAATATCACACCACCACACTTATTAAAAATTTATGTAATATAATCCCAGTTTCCTGCAGGGATATTCTGAACTTTCTCCTGTCTTCTCAATCTTTTACCTCTTAACTTTACAGAGAAAACCTTTCTTGCTTCTGTCATTCCTTCAACATCCTATGGTAGGGGGGTGGAGCCAAGATGGTGGAGTGAAAGCAGTGACTTGCTTGAGCTCTCCCTCAAACCCCTCCAAATACTCATAAAAAATGGCTCTAAACAAATTCTGAAGCAGCAGAACCCACAAAAAGACAGAGTGAAACAAATTTCCAGCCCAAGACAACCTGGATGATTGATCAGAAAGGTGTATCGTGCAGGGCTGGGAGTGCAGTGAGGCGTGGGCTCTCAGGCCGCAGTGAACCTGGAGCAGGCCTCGGAGGACTGAATCGTGGCCAGCTGTGGTGGTTTCCAGACTCCTCAATCCACTAATGCCAAAGACAACTTAGAAGGTCAGTGGGAAAAGTCTGTCTGCGGTGCTCAGAGAGGAAGGCGGGGTTTCAGTTCCATTCCCCAAGAGCGTGGCCCTGGGGTGGGGGGGCAACTGCTTCCCAAGCTTCTGGCCCACAGACTGAGGGGGAATCCAGTGGCTGATCAGAGAGGGATTGCAGGGATCTCTTTGCCAGTGCTGAGGCAGGAATCTCTTGCTTTGCTTCTTTTTTTTTTTACCCCCTTTTAGGCAATTGGAGTTAAGTGACTTGCCCACGGTCACACAGCTAGTAAGTGTCATGTGTTTGGTCTGAGGCTGGATTTGAACTCAGGTCCTCCTGACTTCAGGGATGGTGCTCTATCCACTGCGCCACCTAGCTGCCTCTGCTTTGCTTTGTTTCGATCTGGGTCACAGTTCTGGGTTGCGGTGCTGGGGTGAGGAGGAGCGCTGGTGTGGAGAGCTTGTAGTGATTGTGGAGAGGAGCCCCTCCTCACAGTTACAGGACAGAAAGGAGTACTTGTGGTCACAGGCCAGGAAAGGAGTAAACACCTCGCCCCTTATCATACCACCTTGGAAGAACTGAAAATTTACAGGTCCCTACAAGTATCTCTGAAAACAGCTATACAAACCCCTGAAGCTTGGGACAGTACATTCTCCACATTGGAAGCAGACTCTTACCTTAACAAAGAGTTTAAAACTCAAGTAATTGGCCGGATCATGAGCAAGCAGCAAAAAGAGTCAGACTATATTATCTTACTTTGGTGAAAGAAGATCAAAATATACAACCAGAAGAAGACAACAAAGTCAAAGCTCCTACATCCAAAGCCTCCAAGAAAAATATGAATCAGTCCCAGGCCTTGGAAGAGCTCAAAAGGGATTTTGAGAAGCAAGTAAGGGAAGTAGAGGAAAAACTGGGAAGAGAAATGAGAGTGATGCAAGAAAATCATGAAAAACAAGTCAACAGCTTGCTAAAGGAGACCCAAAAAAATACTGAAGAAAATAACACCTTAAAAAATAGCCTAACCAAATGGCAAAAGAGGTCCAAAAAGCCAATGAGGAGAAAAATGCCCTAAAAAGAAAAATTGGCCAAATGGAAAAGGAAGTCCAAAAGATTACTGAAGAAAATACTTCCTTAAAAATTAGAATAGAGCAATTGGAAGCTAGTGACTTTATGAGAAATCAAGACACTGTAAAACAAATCCAAAAGAATGAAAAAGAAAAATGTGAAATATCTCATTGGAAAAACAACTGACCTGGAAAATAGATCCAGGAGAGAGAATTTAAAAATTATTGGACTATCTGAAAGCCATGATCAAAAAAAGAGCCTAGACATCATCTTTCAAGAAATTATCAAGGAAAACTGCCCTGATATATTAGAACCAGAGGGCAAAATAGAAATTGAAAGAATCCACAGATCTCCTCCTGAAAGAGATCCCCAAAGGAAAACTCCTAGGAATATTAGCCAAATTCCAGAGTTCCCAGGTCAAGGAGAAAATATTACAAGCTGCCAGAAGGAAACAATTCAAGTACTGTGGAAACACAATCAGGATAACACAAGATTTAGCAGCTTCTACATTAAAGGACCACAGGGCATGGAATATGGTATTCCGGAGGGCAAAGGAGATAGGATTACAACCAAGAATCACCTACCCAGCAAAACTGAGTATAATCCTTCAGGGGAAAAAATGGTCATTCAGTGAAATAGAGGACTTTCAAGCATTCCTGATGAAAAGACCAGAGCTGAATAGAAAATTTGACTTTCAAATACAGGACTCAAGTGGAACATGAAGAGGTAAACAGGAAAGAGAAATCATAAGAGACTTATTAAGATTGAACTGTTTACATTCCTGCATGGAAAGATGATATTTATAACTCATGAGACCTTTGTCAGTATTAGGGTAGTTGAAGGAAAAAAATTATATGTATGTATAGATAGATAGATAGATAGAGGGCACAGGGTGAGTTGAAGATTAAGGGGTCATATCTGGAGAATAAAATTAAGGGATGAGAGAGGATATACTCAGAGAAGAAGAAAGGGAGAGGTAGAATGGGGTAAATTATCTCACAAAAAAAAACAGAAAAAAAGTCTCTTACAGTGGAGGGGAAGCAGGGGAAGGTGAGAGGGAATGAGTGAATCTTATTCTCATAGGATTTGGCTTAAGGAGGGAATAACATACACATTCAATTGGGTATGGAAATCTGTCTTACCCTACAGGAAAATAGGGGGAGAAGGGGACAAGAGAGCAGGGGATGGTAGAGAGGAGGGCAGATTGGGAAAGGGAGTAATCAGAAGTAAATACTTCTGAGGAGGGACAGGGTCAAAAGAAAGAATAGAATAAATGGGGGGCAGGATAGGATTAAGGGAAATAGAGTTAGTTTTTCACAACATGTCTACTATGGAAGTGTTTTGCATAACTGCACATGTATACCTATATTGAGTTGTTTGCCTTTTCAATGAAGGTGGGTGAGGAGGGAGGAAGAGAGAAAATTTGAAACCTAAAGTTTTAAAAGCATGTTTAAAGAAAAAATGTTTTCACATGCTACTGGGAAATAAGAAATACAGGAGATGGGGTATAGAAGTCTATCCTGCCCTAAAGGAAAATAGAAGGGGAAGGCCGATAAGAGAAGGGGGAAAAGATAGAAGAGAGGACAGACTAGGGGAAGGGATATTCAGAATGCATGCCATCTTGGGGTGGAGGGAGGGGTGAGATGGTGCTAAAATTTGGAACTCAAAAACTTGTGGAAGTAAAATGTTGAAAACTAAAAATAAATAAATTTATATTTAAAAAACAAAACAAACAAAAAAACCCCCCAACATCCTATGGTAGGCAGTCAGATTCTCTGCATGCTTTGGTCTACAGGAAATCTCACTTTCTTTCAGAAAGTGAGCCTTCTCCAGTCAGAATTAGATGCCATAATGGGATGGCCCCCATCCAAGATAGCTTAATTCTTTGATGCTGTGTCTTAACTTTGGTAATGAGATATATTCTATTGGTTGCTAGCATATTAATTTGGATACTAAGAGCTTTACATAAAAATGAACAATTTGTTTTCACAAAGACCTGGTTTTCAGAACCAGGCCCAGTTTGCATGCCAAAAGTCCACAAGTCCTTCAGAATTGTCTTGGATCATTGTATTGTGAGAATAGCTAAGTTACTGACAGTTAATCACTATACAATATTGCCATTACTATACACAATGTTCTCCTGGTTCTGCTCATTTTACTTTGTATCAGTTCACAGTTAATTTCAAAATTCTCTATTTCTCCTCCATTTCACTGCCAAACTCCTAGAAAAAGCCTCTACCTTTTCTTTACCATCTCCTATGTAACTGTTTCCATTCAGATTTTCTTGTTTCTTTACAAAGAAAAGAGACTGAGCTCCCTCTTTTCACTTGCTCCACACCTTGAAACCCTCTACATAGACTCTCATTTGCTTCTCTTTTGCTCCAGTCTCTGAGGAAGAAGTCTTCTTGACAAGGATGACTCTTGATCTCATTGCCCCTAGTATATTCCCTAAACTTATTCCATCAATCATGACTCTTCCCTCTCATCTTCAATGTCTCCTTATCTACTGGCTCTTTTCCTGACACCTAAAGACATCCCTAGCCTTGAAAAACCTTCACTTAGTCCTGTCATTCCCTCCAGCTACTGTCCTATATCTACTCTCCCTTTCACT